CCTTTGGAATAGTAGCAGCTTCTTGGTATTGATAATCTATTGTATTGGTAGCCTACCATCCCTTTGTGTACATCCTCATTTATTCCAACATTTTTATATCTAATTCTCTATCATAAATTCATTTTGTTGCAGTATCTGATAGGATCTCCCCCCATGTATCTCAATTTTCCTTTCCTTATTTTCCTTTCCTTATTTCCATTAGTCATTAAAATGTCTTTATTTGTTTGTTTGTTCATTTCCTAACTCACCAATTAGATTTTAAGCATCATTAAAGCCAAGGCTTTGCTTTTTTTATGTTTACTTCTTGCATCCCTGGTGCCCAGAGAGCACTGAATAAATATTGGCTGAATGAAGCAATAATGAATGACCTCAATTAATTCTCCCCAAAGTATCAACATCCCCATTTTTATAAATGAGGTCTAAGATGCTAAAATGTTAAGTAATTTGCCAAAGCTGCAGAAACAGAATGGAGAAGCAGTCCTGTTAGATGTTCACAAAAACCTGTTGATATTTTTCTGATTATAAGTAATCCCAATATCTTTATCAACTCTTTCTATACTTATCTCTCCCTCTGGACATATATTCATCATTTGGATAAAATTGGACTGATTCATATCACCTCTGGCTAGCTTCTAATACGTGTTTGTTCCAGCCACTGCCACAAGGGAAACATTGTTTTCCAGAGTGTACGTTTTCAATTTTAAGTAAACCAAAGCTTATGCAGTTTATAATCCAGCAAACGCCTTTGTCTCTTTGCATAGACCCCTCTCCTTCTAGATCACTTGCTCAGATGCCTTGTTAGGCAAAACTCTTGGCTTCACCATAACTAAGTACTCTCACTACTATTCACGAGATTCTTCTTCACTTTTATTTATTAATACATATCTAGCATTAAAATAAATGTACCTAATTACTAGAGAGAAACACATTATTTATATAAAAGAAAACACATTTAAAGTAGCACAGAGGTCTTTATGAAATCAGAAGATCTCAGATTAAATAAAGTGTCTTAAGATAAATTTGGCTATGTACTCCCAAATAAATATAGCACATTGAGTAAAATTCTCAGTTTGCATTTCTAACACACTCTCTAAAAATATCTTTACCATCTGAAAACCCCATTATATAGCATGCAAAATGCTTTTCTATATTCTACTCATCTACTGTAAAAGGTCTAATAAAGGGAAACTCATATACTATCAAAAATAATGTGGTTTAAATAATGCCATTTGATACAGTGATTTAAACTAGTATTTTGGACTGAAGTTTTATCTAGGAAAATTCTCAGCCATTATCTCTTCAAATGGGGCTTCTGCCCCATTGTTTCTCTCTGTCTTTCTGGGATACTTTTATGATAGATTTTTTTTTCTGTCTTTTATTCTCTATTTTCTATCTTTTTGTCTGTCCATGCTTCATTCCAAATATATATTTCAGATTTACTAATTTTTTGTTTATCTTTGTCTAATCTGCTTTTAAACCCATCTATTGTGTTATTGTGTTATTAATTTGTACTTACTGCATGTTTTAGTTTAGAATTTATTTTGATTCTCCTTAAAATCTATTATGTCATTTTTATGTTTTCCAGTTTACTGCCAAAATTCTGAATCTTGTTATTCTCCTTCCAACAAGATTAGTATAAATACTTAAGTCATGTAGTATGTGTATATGTTTATGTGTGTATACATAAATTAGGTATAGTTATATATAGTATATATGATTTAAAGCTTGTGTATATATCTATATAAGATATTTAGCTATATACATATATATATACACATAAACACAAATTGTTCTTTCCTATATATATTCATTCCCTAATTTTATATATATTTAGGAATGGATGTGTGTGTGTGTGTGTGTGTGTGTGTGTGTATAAAAGTACACCATTGGTACTGGTTTTGATTTTGAAATCAGATCAACCTGGTTTAAAATTTTGGCTTCAACGCTTACTTGATGATTAACTATGAGCAAACTAGCTGGCCTTTTTTGTTGTCTAAGTTTTCTCAACGGTAAGTGAGAATAAAAATATGTATCTCATAGGTTTATCGTAAGAATAATGACAATGTGTAGTAATTATTAGAGATTCCAACACACACTAAACACAGATAAAGTGGCTTTTTTTTTTTTTTT